CCAGAGGCACGAAGGTCATGCCAGCTGCCCAGCTAAAGAAAGCAAGCATCCATAACAGGCAGCAATGAAATAGGAATATGCTGGAGGCAAATGACCACTTTAGTGATTTCATAAAAGACAGCAATAACACTTAGACTTCTATATATCACTCCACAGTGCTTTATAGCCCTTTCTAAGTGGTTTACACAGTCAGCATATTGCTCCCAACAATCTGGGACCTCATTTTACTGACCTCAGAAGGATGATAGGCTGAGTCAACCTTGAGGTGGTCAGGATCAAACTGCTGGCAGTGGGGAGAGTTAGTTTGCAATACTATATTCTAACAACTGCATTACAAAACCACAATACATTGTATCTGTATTTTACTGAGAAAGCCACATGAATGGACAAGAGCTGAGGCTCTTTAAACACTCTAACCAAATTATGCCAACAATTCTGGAGAACAATGCAGTGGTCAACGGATAGGGGAAAAAATCAGGCTACATACCAATACTAAAGAAAGATAACTTTACAGAATGTGCTAAATATTGTACAATATTCTAGTTTAGAAAAGGCCTAAGAATGAGATATGTTACTGCTGATACATGCTAGCTAGATCATTGAAAAAGTGAAAGTATACAAAGATGAAGTCCATATCTGCTTCACTTACAGAAACATATTTTGTCAAACCATCTCTGTGGGACGTCCCTAAAAATGGGAAATCCACATCTTACTGTCCTCAGATGAAACCTATGCACTGGATAGGATGTTACCATTTGAATAAAAGATGGAAAAATGGACTACTTTCAAGTCAGCATCATAATACATTATATAAGGGATATGGTTTGTTCCAACATAGTTTATTGAATAAACCAAAACCAGCTATGCATTCTAGGCATTACATCTTGGTTTGCTATGCACAAAGACTGAGTTCACACAACATATTAAGCCACAATCAAACAGTGATTGTGATACAGTGTCGAATGTGAACTAGCTAAAGAATAGTAGCTGATTTCAACCTATGCTCCAAAATTTACTGAAGATTTATTAAAATCAAATGAGTAACATGCATATGCATTGACCCAGCAGGTTTCCAATAATTCAACCATGTAATTGCAATAATTATAGTAATCACTGTAATTATTGTGACCCACATGTAAGGTCAAGTGTTCACCATGTATTAAGTCAAATTATTCCTTTTTAATCCCACACATGCTTTAAGGAGCTTGAAATGTTATAGAGGATTCTCATTCAACCCAATTTATCCTTATCTTAAACTTGTAGAATATATTCATCTGAGAAGTAAGATGATTCACCAAACTAGAAACTGATTGCAAGAACATTTCTATTCATGCTTCTAACCCAGAAATGGAGCTGAAGCTGACAGCAGTTTGTGCTTACGCTATAATATGCTATTATCAGTTCAAACTTATTTTTTCTAGCTAGCTGGAAAGAGAGCATTGGATTTATAGAGACCATGTAATAAAGTACCTACAAAATTTCCAGGGACTTGAGAATAATCATGTATGACCCTCTAAAGAGTTGTTAGTCAACTAATATTGATCATACTCAGCTATATGTGTCAGTAATCTGATTTAGCACATGCACCTTCTTATAATCCCATTTAGCATATACACATTTTATAATCCCATTGGCTTTATGAATCATTCTATAAAACTTTAAACTTGGGAAGGGGCATCCAAAAATAATGTTCTAAGCTTTATCCTGAACTAGTCATAAGGTTTGATCTCACAATGTTTGTTTTATTAGTGCCTTAAGCAAAGCTGGATGGTCCTGGGGAAGCTCTTCAGCTAAATTGGGTGGCTGAAATCTGCGAAAATCCAGTAGGTTGAACATCTATGAGGTTTCTATTTTGTTTCTGAAATAGGAAGGTGAAAATATTGATCTGGGCCAACTTCATGTTTATGTGACATTGTTTCATTTGAAACATCATGAACCCATAAATAATGGCTTGTTCACAACCCACAGCTACTATGTTCATACAAGACATCAAGCCAGTTTTCAACTAGCACATAATGTGATCACAGCTTTTGCATTCCTTGCTAACTTGCATGAGAAGTTCCCATTAAATAGCCTGCCTAAAGCACTAAAACATTTCTGATTTAGACAGGACGCTGGGCAGAAAGGTCACAGTTATTCATAGACTGTTTTTACTGAAGCTGCATAAGAGGAAAAGAGAGACTAACATTAAATAGACTGCTCAGTTCTCCATTTCCTTCCACAGCCTCCAATATTATTTGTAATAAATGAGAAACTCTTTTTCAGTGTCTGTTCTTCTATACCCCAGGTGTCTGCTTGTTTGTTCCTTTGAAGTGGGATATATTTTGTGCACAGTTCCAGCCAAAGAGAACAAATTTATTTGCCTCCCAAATGTTCTCTCCATATTACTCCTCTGTTTCCCATTCCAAACAATTGTCCTGGAATCCTCTGCATACTTAGAGCAGTTGTTCTGGTCCGTTTTTGCTCTGCTTCACTGATGCATGGAGTGACGTCTCTTTGGAGATGGGAACAAGGTCCCTAATTCTAATTGTAAACTTGATTGCGAAATATTTATTTGTCCGTTTGCTTGGATCTGCCAGGAAGGAAGGAAGGAAGGAAGGAAGGAAGGAAGGAAGGAAGGAAGGAAGGAAGGAAGGAAGGAAGGAAGGATTTCTTTCTTCAAGGGGCTCAGAAATGTTTATTGTGATGCCCAACCCAGATTTTACCTGTGCTTAGATTTTCTGCTTAGAAACTGAAATGCTGAAAAAGTAGCACAGGAATGAATGAGTCATCCTTGTTCAAACACATTGCTGTCCAATCTTTTTGGAGACTGGTTTGGGGGGTGTGTGTGTGGGAATTAAAGATTTCCAATGTGACCTAAACAACCCCTCAAGAATTAGTATGGAGGGGGAAGGCTGAACTGATTAACGAAAGTAAGACAGTGAGTCAAGAACATTTGCTTTACTCTCTTTTTTCATATCTTAGAATAAAGCAGCACTGCACAGTTGTCAACTATACAAGTTGTCTTTCCTTCTCTTGCTCATGCTGAGACACAATTACACAACCAAGAATGCATGCATCTCTCAAAAACCAGTGCCCCCCCCCCCTCAACAATCAAATACAGATCATTGGGCATGCAATAGCTCTGTAGAAGGCCTCTAAAGATAGAGATTCTCAAAATTAAATGTTAATGTGCTAGGCACGGTAAACTATTAAATGCACAGAGAGTAATTATCAATCATTAATTTAATTTTAAATAAGTTTCTGGGGTTCTGGAAACAGGAATCACCTCAGAAGGGTAAATAGGAAACCTTTGGCAAGAGGAATCAATTGTAAGAGAAATTCACAAAGAAAAATCACACACGGATGCAAGAGTTTCTAACCCAACAGAGGAACCGTCACCTCAAAAACCTGCTATTCAGATTGGAATAGTGATTATTATTAATTTTTAGCTGAAGCACATGTAATTTAATCAGAGGCACGAACAGGGCATGTCTGTAAGAACTAAGGTTTGTCCTTGTAAAGGCTGGAGATTTGTTTTTAGTTCAATGTAATGGAAGTATATAATTAATGCAGTTTTTCTCAGTTTAACAACCTTAAATTAGCTGGGGAACATTGGGAGTTGAACCCCACACATCTTAAAGCTGTTGAAGTTGAGAAATACTGCATTAATGGAGCAGTCTTTTGCCATGCTTTGGTCTCCTCCTGAGGTGATGATGTGCGATGCAATGAACTTATTGTCATTTTTACAAGCAGCTCCAGGCTCCTTTATGCTCAGCCCTTAAAAGAGCAGATATTCTTTTCCAGTCGTTGCTAATTGAATGTGACACATTGGCCTCCTGGTTTCTTTTCTTTTTTCTGTTGTTTGCTTTTTGAGTGAGCTAACATTTAAAATAATTTGTGCAGGTTGTTCTGTGAGCTTCTTAGCCAAAAGATGGATCACCAACACATTAGCAAATCCATAAATAAATACATTTCTGTACGCAGAAGCAATGGAAATGAAGAGAAAGGGAGCTGCGGTGCTTTGGAATAATGCTATATGTTGCAGAAATGAAAGAAGCAGGCCCTTCAACCAAATATTGGTGCTTTCCTTGGTGCTGAACTCAAGAGTTGCTGATTATGTCTTTAGAAAGTTCCTGCTGTTGTTGTTAGTTGTGAAGTCGTGTCTGACCCATCGTGACCCCATGGACAGCATTTCTCCAGGCCTTCCTGTCCTCTACCATCATCTGGAGTCCATTTAAGCTCACGCCGACTATTTCAGTGACTCCATCCAGCCACCACATTCTCTGCTGTCCTCTTCTTCTTCTTCTTCTTTTGCCCTCAATCTTTCCCAGCATTAGGCTCTTCTCCAGTGAGTCCTTCCTTCTCATTAGGTGGCCAAAAGTATTTGACTTTCATCTTCAGGATCTGGCCTTCTAAAGAGCAGTCAGGGTTGATCTCCTCTAGGACTGACCGGTTGGATCGCCTTGCAATCCAAGGGACTCACAGAAGTCTTCTCCAGCACCAGAGTTCAAAGCAGTGGTGGAATTCAATTTTTTTTTTTACTACCGGTTCTGTGGGCGTGACTTGGTGGGTGTGGCAGGGAAAGGATACTGTAAAATCTTCAGTCAGAGGTGGCATTTGCCAGTTCTCCAAACTACTCAAAATTTCTGCTACTGGTTCTCCAGAACTGGTCAGAACCTGCTGAATACCATCTCTGGTTCAAAGGCCTCAGTGCTTTGGTGCTCTGCCTTTGTTATGGTCCAACCTTCACAGCCATACATTGCAACTGGGAAAACCATAGCCTTGACTATATGCACTTTTCTTGGCAGGGTGAGGGTGATGTCTCTGCTTTTTAGTATGCTGTCTAGATTTGCCATAGCTTTCCTCCCCAGGAGCAAGCATATTTAAAATATTAAATGCATATTAAATTTATTTTAAATATGTATTAAATTTATTAAAGTATGAAATACTTATTTAACCTCAAATACTTCATATAAAGTTCCTGTACCCCGATGCCATTCAAACCAAGTGTACCATACCTTATAGAGTCCATGGCTACATCCAGAATAGGTGCTTTCCATGGTGTAGCTCCTCAGCACTCCTATTTCCCGCCAAACCACCACTCGGGCTGTGGAGTCACGTGACTTCTCCAGCAAGAAGCTGCAGCTACTCATGAGAAAAGCAGGAGCCACTTTATCCAAGATCTTTGGCAGAGTCTGCAACATATCAAAGGATAGCACTGTCACATAAATATGGTACAGTGGTTAGACTGCAGTATTGCAGGCCAATTCTGCCCAGAGCCAGGAGTTTGATTCTGATCAGCTCAAGGTTTGACTCAGACTTCCATCCTTCAGAGGTCAGTAAAATGAGGACCAAGATTGTTGGGAGAAATATGCTGACTTTGTAAACTGCTTAGAGGGGGCTAAAAAGTACTATGAAGTCTTGGTGCTATTGCTATTAGATTTTATTTTATTCTTTATTTTGACAGTGGCTTCTTACTTTTCCCCTTCCCCTGGTTGATTTTAAATGGAACTAGGAATAACTAGCCAATTTTGCTGGACTTGGAGTGGACTTTTTTTCCTTTAAATTTTGAACTGCTCATCTTGTCTCAGAGAGGGACCACTCTGGATGGTGACTTTCTTAGCACTTGAATGAAAAACCACAGAGACCTCACATTTGTAAGCTAGACTGAGAAATTGGGGAGGAAAATAAACTGAGTTCTAGGGGAATGTGTTCATTTTTAAGCCTCCTAACTGACATAACGGTAAAGATTCCCCTCTCAAATACATGCTAGTCATTTCCAGCTCTAGGGGGCTGTGCTCATCTCCATTACAAAGAGCCAGCGCTGTCCGAAGACGTCTCCATGGTCATGTGACTGGCATGACTAAATGCTGAAGGTGCACAGAACGCTGTTACCTTCCCACCAAAGTGGTCCCTATTTTTCTACTTGCATTTTTACGTGCTTTTGAACTGCTAGGTTGGCAGAAGCTGGGACAAATAACGGGAGCTCATTCCATTACACGGCACTAGGGATTTGAACCGCCGAACTGCTGACCTTTCTGATTGACAAGCACAGTGTCTTAGCCACTGAGCCACCACGTCCCTTCTAAGTGACATACACATGCTGATGAAAGTAAGCAGTGAATTGTGATAGAACAAATCACACCTTATTTTAGGATAGTCATGGAATATACTTACTTGAACCTTTTCCCTTTAGCTTTAGCTTTGCTTGACTAATAAGAATTTATTTATTTGGTTTATTTATATTCCTGCCTTTCTATTCAACTGAATATTGAACATCTGAGATTACAGGATTAGAGAGAGAAATAATATATTGGTATATCAACAGAGACTTAAACTGTGCTGTCAATAATATAGCAATTCAGATAATTATAAGAATTCACTCTTGTACATTGAATGATATACATAAAATAAAATGGAAAGCTAGGAGACAAAGACCTCTTGAATATCAGAATGAAAAGCTGGGTGTGTTTTGGTTTTCTGTTTTTTTGTTTAATTAGAAAGACGTCAGGCAGATACCAAATTTGTCTTTTTAATAACACAAACAATATGAAATAGCACTCATCAATACCATCAAAATCTGAATGGGCAGCAAATTAAAAACAAATAAAAGGCAATACATTATGCATAATAGATTGATGGAATTTCATGCTGCATTTGGATGATATTATATCAGGCTGCAGAATAACAACTTTTTATCCAACATATTAAAAAAAAATTAGAACTGATAGCAAAAGTTCAAAAGAAAAAAACAGCCTGCAATGCAAGATGTAAGTAGCCAAAAACTAATACATGATACAAGACTAAACCTAGAGGTTGTCTGTCAAATATAAAACCTGTGCAATGAGTTTGCTTTAATACTGGTTCATAATAAAAAAAATAATAATCTTAGCGCAGCTGGATGTGCAGTCATATTCAGACATCCTAGATATTCTTGGGCCTTTCAGGTACAATTTGCCCAGTGGTGGGATTCAAAAAATTTTTACTACCAGTTCTGTGGGCATGGCTTGGTGGGCATGGCAGAGGAAGGATACTGAAAAATCTCCATTCCCTCCCCACTCCACTTTCCAGCTCCATTCTCCTGTGCTTTCCAGCTCCATTCTCCTGTGCAGGACAACAAAAGAAGACCCAGCCGATCAACTGGGACTCAATGGGAGACAGAGAATAGATGGGGATGGGGCCAGTCAGAGGTGGTATTTTCTAGTTCTCTGAACTACTCAAAATTTCCACTACCAGTTCTCCAGAACTGGTCAGAACCTGCTGAATATCACTTCTGAATTTGCCAATTTATTCATTTAAGTATTTTTTTTTCTTTTTAACCCATCTTTATTTTTTCCAAACTCTGGTTAATCTGACTGCTAATCATGCTTTTATCATGATAAAGATAGGAGATGACTCTGACAAAATGCCTGCGACTCCAAATCCGTTTGCAGAAAATATATCTTTTATTTTTACCTAAGTAAATAAAACTACCACTGATTCCCATAATTGAAGATAATCCATTCCATGGATAAACTCTGTTTCAGATCATCTTTCTGATGGTCCAGGAATTTTCACAGACTTTTCTGCCAACTTCGTTGACCAATGTGAAAAAAAAATTGCAAAATCATGGGTCGATCCAGAACCATTGCTTGATTCCCACCTACTCTATGTTGCCTCAAACTAACATGTGTTTGGTTACTGACAAACGTCCAAATTATATTAGGGAAATCAGCCTCATCATAAGCAGATAGAAAATTGTCAGACAAACAACACTAACCAGTCTTTGGGAGGGAATTCCTTGGAGGCAAGTCAATGTCACATCAATGTGCTTTTCCTTGTTCTGGATTGCCCTCTAAGAGATGTTTATTGGGGAAGCATCAAAAATTGAAATGCATCCTCCAGCTGAGTCTCAATGTTATCATCAGCATCATGCCAATTATTTCACTTGTGTTTTCCCCCTTCATTCCATTCAGTGTTATAAAACAAAGAATTCACTTTTGAAAACAAAGGGGAAGTTTTCATGAGCAGAGCATGGTGCCTTTGTACTTACTGAGTGATAAGGTGGTTAAAAAAAAAGCTCCCTTTCCAATTTTTCATTGTGTAATTCTTTCTTTGGCAGTCTTAATTTTTGCAGGCTTTCGCTCAAGAGAAGATAGCAGGGGAGAATGTTTACCCCGGACCTTTTCAGATCAGAAAGGATGAGCAGCCACAATATTTTCAGTGTAGCATTATCTACCACTTCCAGGAGGAGAGCAAGCTCAAAAACATTGGCCAAAGAAATCAGAAAGATAGCTCTTCTGCAGGGAAGAAAAAGTTCAAAAAAAAACAAAAAACAAGTAAGACTTTTGGAAGGTGCTTAGTCAAAGCACAGGCATCATTAGGGAGTACTGAAAATAAATGGCATCAACTTTTTGAAAACCCCTGCATCACTGACTTTGCAGAGCACAAAAATGGCTTGAAGCCTCCTGAGATGTTAGTGACCTCATCCAATGTTACTTTGAGAAGGTATAGAGAAAGGCGAACAGTATTTTACCAGCTAAAAATGTGACACTTCTCCGGTAATACTACTGATCTGTTTATGCATTTAGCCATCAATCAATTAAGGGTTATAACCCACTCCCACCTATAATCTTCTCCTATTGGTTTCTTATGATTTATCAATTGTTGTTTGTAACTTATGATTAATGATTGTAATTATGATTTGTGATCTATGAACTATTAATTGCTGTTTATATGTACACTATGAGCTTATGCACTGGAGACAAATTCCTTGTGTGTCCAGTCACACTGGGCCAATAAAGAATATTCTGTATTCTGTATTTTATCTTATCCCATCCCACCTCACTCCACTCCATTCTGAGATCAAAAGATATTCAGTGATTTGTGAATGTGTTTTTCTCATCTTAAGACAAAAGAAAAGCTTTTCTTGCTTTGTGTCATTAGCAGCAGCTAAATCTCCAGAAATCAGCATGATCCATTTCCCCCCAGGAGAGAGCTGAGCTGATGTTTACAGATAACAGAAGACATCGAGAAATAAAACAAGTGGGTGGCAAGTTTTGGTTGTAGCTTGGCTGCTTTAAATTCTTGGGATATCTCTCTTCAAAGTCTGTTGGATATACTGGGAAACGCTAGGTGATACAGAATGTTCTGATATATGACGCTGGGTCTTAGCATTGGCTGTGTAATTTACTATCAGATCCAATGGGATATCTAAGGATGTTTCATATGCTTGTATCTTTATCTTTAACACTGTGTTAAGCTATGGACTGTTATGCTATGGGTTATGTTTTCACAGCATGTCTATGGAGATTCTCAGTTATCCACATCATGGTTGTCTCAAAGGAGCTTATTCAAAAGGCAACGGGACTTTGTTTTTCCTTGAAGACATTTCGTTTCTCATCCAAGAAGCTTCTTTACTTCTGACTGAATGGTGGAGGATGGAAGAATTTATAGTCTGTTTATATTGTTGTAACAACACAGTCCTTTCAACAGTTCCAAGAAGGTTCCACATTTGCACTATTTGGGTGACCCTGAGGGAACAGATAAACCCCCAAGTGGCCTCAGCAACTGTCAGAGAGAGTGCTTACAACCAGATGACTGCAAGGAATATAAATCCTCCCATCCTCCACCAATCAGTCGGAACTGAAGAAGCTTCTTGAATGAGAAGCAAAATATCTTCAAGGGTAAAGTCCAGTTGCTTTTTGGAAAAGCACTTTTGTAGTGTATTCACAACATGTTAAACCAAGCAGAATGGTTTGTTCAATAGCAATTCCTCAAATCCAAACAAACCCTACATATCATTGCTTGGTAAAAAGCCATTTAGTCCTGCCCAATCCAGTTTAAACAATGAGAAACTATACATAGATAGCTGGGTTGACTTCAGCTTCTTAATGAAATAAAAATTATCTTTCCAATCAACCTTTTATGTTAATTAAAGAACAATTCTGGTAGGTAAATGGTAGGTAGGCATGAATACCCCTCATTTGTAAACATTAGCAAATACCAATTTAATATTCTATTTGTTCTAACTATGTTTCTTGGATCTAAAGCTAATGATTCTCTCCCCTGTTTATTTTCTCATTAATTGTCTTTTAATTGTACATTTTCAAAAAGAAAAGTAAAAGACTCATTTACTCATTTAAGATGTTGGAAAATGAAGGCTCGCCCTCTCTCCTAATACAGAATAATTCTGAAACCACAAAATTCCTTTTTTTCTCACTAGAGCCCAGCTATAATTTCTCATGACCAATCTACCCCTCCAAGAAAAATGATGAGATTTTTCTTCCTTTTTTATTGTTTTATTTTTCCATTGTCCTTGAGAAAGAACATTATCTCTGGAATGATTTCCATCAAATAATTCTCTTAACTGTCATTATTCTTAGACATAATTCCTTGGATAGGCAATTTGATGAGATGTCATCCTGATGGTTTTCAGCAAATTTTACTTGCTAAATTTCAAGAGATTTGGGAATGAAAAGATGGAGATAAGAAGGGAAGTAAGGCTGCAGAAAAGGGATGATGCTGAAGTGTCAAACCTGCTCAGCAAGCTTGAACAGAATAATTCTCTACTCTAACAGGAGACTGATATTGTAGTCTTCCCATGCCCCATTATCTGAGAATCTTTAATAGAAGACACCAACAATACAATCCAAGTTCTCCTGTGAGCAAGCTGCATGTTCAATTTCTGAATTAAACTCTGCCCTTCTGCAAATGCCAAGAGTATTTACGGTAGTCCTCAACTTACAACAGTTTGTTTAGTGACCATTCAAAGCAGTGGTGGTATTCAATTTTTTTTTACTACCGGTTCTGTGGGCGTGGCTTGGTGGGTGTGGTGTGGCTTGGTGGGCGTGGCAAGGGAAGGATACTGTAAAATCCCCATTCCCTCCCCACCCCACTAACCTGCTTTCCAGCTCCATTCTCCTGTGCAGGGCAACCAAAGAAGACCCAGGCAATCAGCTGGGACTCGGGAGGCAGAGAATAGATGGGGGCAGGGCCAGTCAGAGGTGGAATTTGCCCGTTCTCCAAACTACTCAAAATTTCCGCTACCAGTTCTCCAGAACCTGTCAGAACTGGCTGAATACCACCTCTGATTCAAAGTTACAACAGTACTGAAAAAAGTGACTTATGACTATTTTTCACACTTATGACCATTGCAGCATTCCCCATGGTCATGTGATCAAAATTCAGCTGCTTGGCAACCGACTCATGTTTATGACGGTTGCAGTTTCCAGGGTTTCATGTGACCTTTGGACAAGCAAAGTCAATGGGGAAGCCAGATTCACTGAACCACCATGTGACTAAACAACTGCAGTAATTCACTTAACAACTGTGGCAAGAAAGGGTGTAAAACTGGGCAAAACTCACTGAACAAATGTTTCACTTAGCAACAGAAATGTTGATGATCATAGGTCAGGGTTTCCTAGACTTCCTAATGGTAAAGATGACTTTATCCAAATAATTAACCTTTCAAAAACTAATGTAAGTAGGAAAGGCCTTGGGAGGCAGGAGGAAGATGACTATCATGCAAAAGTATCTCGGTCCATCAAAGTAGAGGGGGGTATGGGTGGGAAGCATGTCAGAATGGACTTTCCCTAGTTTTTCAGAGACTAAAAGGAAAGAAACAGAGAAATCCTTTCAGATTTGCAAGATTCTGTTAATCTAGCCTTAAATTTAAATTAAATTAAATAATTAAATTAAATTAAATTAAATTAATTAAATTAAATTAAATTAAATTAAATTAAATTAAATTAAATTAAA